TCAAAATGGATAAAATACTTAAATGTAAGTCACAAAACCATAAAAATCCTAGAAAAACCATAGGCGGCAAAATGTCAGACATCTCTCATAACAATATGTTTATGGATATATCTTCTAGGGCAAAGAACACAAACACATAAACAAATGGGAAAATAAACAAATGGGACTACATCAAAATAAAAAGCTTCTGCATAGCAAAAACAACCATCAACAAAACAAAAAGGGAGCCCACTGCATGGGAGAACATATTTGGCAATGATACATCTGATAAAGGGTTAATATCCACAAAAATATTCGTTGTGGCCACATGCGGCCCTCGGGCTGCGAGTTTGACATGCTTGCTGTAGGTGTATTAATTGGAATGGGTCAGAATAGCCAGGATTACATGTTCTAACTGTTAAATTTCTCTGTGAACCCATCAAGGTTCTGGATAACGTTGGGAACAATTGCTGGCTCCTCTCTAGCTGAGACCAGCTTTTTTCAAAGGGAGCTGTTAGAATTCCTATCTCGAGTTCCCTTAAGTCAGTGGTAGTAGAAGAGACAAAACAGGGAGGAAGCAGGGAGGGGAAAGGCCAGTCATGACAAGGAAGCTCGGAAAGCAGAGGATATAGTGGAGAAGCTATAGAAGGGGGAAGAATGGGGTGTAGGTATTTATTGTCTTCAGAATAGTTCATAGATGGTCTCTAAAATTTCGTATTAATTTTTTAAAAGAAATTTATCTGTGCTTCTCCTTTGAAGCTTCTAATTTCCAAATCAAGATATGCTTTCCATTTATTCATTCCATTTATTTTAGAGCTGGCATTTTTCTAATTTTTGCATTCAAAATATTAATTTGGGTACCCAAGGACAACTGCATTTTGGCCATTTTTAAGTTGATATTTTCTAGTTAAATCTTCCCATTTCTGTAAAGCACTTGCAAGTAAAGGCTTCCTATCAGGAGTATTAATGAGGGCTGGGGTCTGAGAGTTTCTGGCCTTTGAGGCACAATTTCCCATGTTAATTTTAGTTTGTTTGCTTGTGGTTTTTTTGTTGTTTTTTTTTTGTTGTTGTTGTTGTGGGTTTTTTTATATATATCTGCAGAGTCAGAACAAATTTCTAGGGATATTATATAGTGGGTCAGTGTGCTGCTTATGGGTGGAGCTGAGTGAGACTCACGCCTTGAGTTGCATTGAACCCTCTTACACTTCTCTCCCAGCTAAAACCACCCAAGGCTTGGCAGAGCGAGCCTATGAGCACTCCCCCAGAGGAGCCCGTTCGTTTAACTCAGTGGCTGGCAAACTGCAGCTCACGAGTCCCATGCGGATCTTGGGCCCCTTGAGTGTGGCTCTTCCCCAAAATACTGACTTTTGCGCATGGGCCACGAAGGTTCAATAGCACTGTATGTGCGGGCCCACACGTGGTATTTTGTGGAAGAGCCACACTCAAGGGGCCCAAGATCCGCATGGGACTCGTGAGCTGCAGTTTGCTGACCATTGGTTTAACACGTTAAGTGCTCAGTCCGTCACCGGTGACTGACACTATACTTTCCGTCCGGAAGACAAAACAGGCTGGGCGCTTAACGTGTTAATTACAGTTGAGTTGGAAGAGAGAGGGCTCTGCACTTCATGAGGAAGGACCTCTGACACAGGCACAAAGATTCTTAGTCACCTAAGCACACCTGAGGCAGGTGCCTGGAGGGAGGATGTGCCCCTTTATCTCCGGAGCTGAAGGAGTTCAGCTCTCATTTATACAGCAAATTGTTTTGCTCAGACTCTCAGAAAGCAATTCTAATGGAAAAGTCAGAGTTAAAAACCAGCCACCCATTTTCCTTCTGTCTTGCCTTAGCCTGGGTTCTTCCTTATTTCCACCTCAAGGATTTAAAAATACAGCTCAAATAAAGTCAGACCCTCTCCCAAAAGCAAGGGAAGGTCCTGGATTCAAGAGACAACTCACACAAGTTCACCCAATGGGCCTTTTCCTGGATCCTAGCACTGAGTCTGGATCTGAGGTGTGGTCCCGGGTGAGCTTCTTTGAAATCCTGCCGCACTACGTCAATTAATATTAATGGAAGAAACATTCAGACCTATGAAGAATTTTTGTGAGTTTATTTGAGCCAAACTATTGACAATTCCCAGAAAGAAGAATCTCAACATATTGAGACAATGCTCTGGAGAATGGCAATTTTGCATTTTGTTTCATATATTACAATCGAAGGAGAAGACATAAGTGGGTTACATGAACTCCACTGGTGATGGATTAGGGAGGCGGGAGAAAGCAAAGGGGGGAAACCTCTGGGATTGGGTAAAAAGTAAAGTGGTAGACACACACTTCTTTACTTAGGTGGGTACAGGATAGTGAACAGTCAACAATTAACTCAGTAAAATGAGGGGATTTGTGGTCTCTGCAGAGGGTGCCTGTGGTTTGACGGGTCCGGGAAAAGGAAAGTTACTTTGACATTCCAATTATATGTTATCGCAGATGCAAAAAGACAACAGGCTCAGTTAAGGTAAAGGTTGACCTTTGTCAGGGAGGATACTGGCCTAGGAGGTGACCACCCACCATAAACTGCTTTTAGTTAAAGTTTAATTTCAGACCATCCTTTGTGGTGACTGTAGGTCTCTGAGTTTGCAAGACCACCATGCAGGCCTCCCCTGAGCTGGTCAGATGTGTCCCCCTTTGTCCACACAGGCAACCAGACAGGGTGAGGTGTGACGATACTGAGCAGATGGCTCCTCACCTCTGCACTCTGCACTACATAAGCACCCCGCCTGGGACCTATGGAGGAAGAATGTCCAGCCTATAGAAATGTCTTATAAGAGTTTGAGCAAAATTGTGAGGATGTGCTCAGAAGTAAAATCACAAAGGATTGAGGAAATGCTCTGCAAAATGGCAGTTTGCAGCTTATTTTATACTAAAGGCCCAGTGCACGAATTTGTGCATGGGTGGGGTCCCTTGGCCTGGCCAGCGATCAAGGCCTATGGCAGGGGTGGGGAGGGGGGGTTGGCACCAGGGGTAGGGGCAGGGGCCGAGGGAGGTTGGCTGTGGGAGCTCACTGACCACCAGGGGGCAGCTCCTGCGTTGAGCGTCTGTCCCCTGGTGGTCAGTGCACCTCATAGCGACTGGTCAACTGGTCGTTCTGGTCGTTGGGTCCTAGCGGTCCCTTAGGCTTTTACATATATAGATAGATGTGAGAATCAAAGGAGAAAGTGTAGGGAGGATTACATGAAACCCTCCATTGCCGGTAAATAAAGGGGCAGGAGAAAGCAAGCTAGGGAAACTTAAGGACTGGTGAAAAGCGAAATGAGGAGGCACATTCTTCTTTCACATGGGCCGGTAAGAATAGTGACCATCTACCGCCCAAGGAGA